AAATTAGATAAATTAAATAATTAATAATTAATTAAAAATAAAATTATAAATAGAAAAATATAAAAGGAAATATAAATAATTATCAAAATATGTCACATGATATTTTACATGTGATCCAAAATATCAAATGGTGACAGTATAAATGATTAAAGAAGATTTGTTGGCTAGTTGATTTTGTATACAAGTTCAGGTGTAAATGTTATTGTTGATAGTGAATAGTTTAGTATTGTGTATAGAGATAAGTGAAGATTTGTAATAGTTTTTTTCTGGTATCCAGGATGTGTTGATGATTTGACAGGATAAAGTGAAAGTATTTAATGTTCTTTCTTCAAAAAGTGCAAATTACCATGATTTGAATCCATATTTAGTTTGACGAAAACGTGATTTATATTATTTCCATGTGATGAGTTATGTATTATTGTATTTGGTTAATTGTAATAAAGTAAGTACATGATCATTTCTTAATATATTTCTATATTTGGCATATATAAATCACAGATCCAAGATATTTTCAAGCGGCCATTTGAAGTGATTGTTGAGTTGTATAAGAATATTAATTATTATATATTGTGTGAGATAGAGTGTGAAAAATCTTTCTGTTAAAAGTGATAGTATATTTGCAATGAGATTTTTTCTTGTTAGTGATTGTTCTGGAGTTGGATTTTGTAAAATAGATATATGACTTCATTATTGTTCCTGAAGAGCCTGTAGACAAATATAAGTTACTTGATCAAGGGTGATTGGATCATTAAGTCTGTAGAAAAGTTCACTGATTTTGCTTCTGGATTGAATATGATAAATATGATCTAGTGAGTAGAGCAAAGAATGATGAAGAATTCCATCTGGTATGCTAGCAGCAGTGTGTATTTTCTTTTTGAGAACTTTTTTGAAGAGACATGTAATTAAGTTACATTTAGTTTTAGAAAGTACAAATAACTGTGATTTGTATTTGAGAACTAGTATAAAAACGTGATTTATGATGTAAACAATTTGCTTATCAATGAGTTTTTTCCAAGTATTGGCTTTTGCTTTGATTTTTCATTTTTGTAAAAGTTAACATAGAACTTAGATATATTTTTCTTATTATTTTTATATTTGTTTAATTACCTTCTCCAATTATTATTCATATTTATTAACTAATTTTACAATATGTAACAGTATTCTTAAAAATTTATTTATCAATGAAAAATGCAAAAAATAATGAAATATAATTAAACAATAATAATTGCCAGAACCACAAGAAATTTTATCACCAAATATTGCATCATGTAATTTCATAAGTGGTTGCTTTTTTATTATGATAAATATAATAACAATTGTTCATAACTTTATCTTATCAAAACAAATCATTAACAATCAAAATATGTTAAATATTCATATTCAACAACATTGGTTTCAAAAATTTCTTATTATCATTTTTAGTTTTTAGTATACCTATAATTAAATATAACTTATTTATCTTAGTGCAAAAATAACAAAATAAAAAACAGTCATCCTCTGAACCCAGCTCTCGCCCAAACATCATAGGCCTTCTCATAATCAAACTTATCGTATGAAGGACCATTAAGAGCAATCATCATATAAGCATGAAGCAACTCTGGTTCCATACGCCCAGCATGCTGCACCGCAATCCGTTTTTGTCGCGACAAAAGATTCTCTACGTGCGCATTCGAATAAGGCACAGTCAACGCGATACTAATAATCTTTACAATATTTGGGAATTCTTGAATGAATTCTACCGTTTCAAACGTTTTTTTCCATGCTTCGGTGAACGGTAATTCCTTGAACCCGGACAACAAGTATTTGGCTTGACTCCATTCTTTGATTAATGCTTGTGAGTCAATAACAGGTGGGAAAATTACCCCGTTTTCGAAATTCGGGTTCCCGTATATTTTGTTTAGCGTGTCTATTTCTTCTTTTCCATAGGGACCAATTGCGCGACGCTCGTTTGGCAAAAACCGTGGATCAAATATACGCATGTTATTGTAGACATCTAGCATTGGAAATCGCTCGTTTAGTGCGTTGATTGTCGCAGTGGCGAATTGCGGAATGAATTTCGGAAGAGTAGCACCAAGTGTCAATGTTTTCTCGACAAATTGACGAAGCATTGACCCATAGTTTGGGCGATCCTCCGAACTGCCAATAAACTCTACATATATTTTCGTGGTTGCTTGATTAACAAATGGATAAAGATCAGCAACAGAAATCGGATCACCTTGAAAGAAAATCACGAGATTCTGAAGAATGTTGTAAATGTCGGCAAGCAATTTCGTGGCGATTGTGAAATTCTGGTCAATTTTGTTACACAGAGTCGTTGCATTTTCTGCATTACTTAGTGATAGCGCGATTCTGATTTCATCCAAAATCTGTGAATTCACTGCTATTTCTTGGCACCATGATAGAAATCTTGCTGCGTCAATGTTATATAAACTGCTGGTTATCCCTTCGCCGATTGGTTTTAGACTTGATGGCGGATCAGAGATAACCGAAAAGTAATCAAGTATTTCATTCATTGTTGTTTGGTATTGTATGAAATATAGCACCGCATCTGCGGCTTCTTTCATTGATGAATGAATACTTTGACCGACAGTGTGAATTGAAGAAAGGAATGGTTGTTTTGATTTCAAATGCGAGACTATACCATTTGATCTATCTATTTTATAAATTATTATGGTTATGATGATGATGATGATGATGATTTTTTAAATTAATAAATAAATCAAATACTTGCCAAGGATTGCCGTATCAGCATTACTACCAACATGAGCGAGTTTCGCCATTGAAATTCGCTTCGAAGTGCAAAATGCTTCCAAATTATTCGAAGCAGTAAATGGATCTGTGGATGAGAATCCAAGTATTCCCAAATAACGGATTCCAGGACTATGATCTGCTGATAAATGCTTTGAATACACGGAAATCGATTTTCTACCAGACTGATAGGTCACATGATCAAGAAGTAAGCTCCAGCAAGGAGATTCAGATAATTCTGATAGAACGGCATCTTCAATTACTCGAGACATTGCTTGTACTATATCGATGACTGAAACAGGATTGACATATGTTGCTTCGTTCGCAGATAGTGGAGTTGCCAAAGTTGATGCTGATGTCATCGTATGGTGATGATGATGATGATAATGATTTATAATGTTAGTTGTTGGCTCAGAAGTTGAACCACCCAATATTCCACTAGTATGATTGTTTGCGCCATTCTTTATCTTTATGGTATTATTAGACGTTGTAATGATTTTTCGTGAATTTAAAAGAAAGGGATGTATCGAAATTGGTGGAGCATCAAGTGTAATTCCCGTCTGATTTTGAAACTGAAAAGTAATAAAATTGCACATTTCCTGATACCCGTCCAACGACATATTCTGTTTAATCATAAAATATGCGATTCGCATATTCTCAATAACTTTAGCCTTTCCCAATCCATAAAACTGCGTAAACCGAACCGGCGATGGGTTATCAACGGTCGAAGCATTTCCTGTGGTTCGCCCTTTGACAATATTTACGTGTTCTTTGACTTTTTGATGCCGAACAAGTGAATCCTCTTTTATCCATTCGCATCCTTCCGTCGCGAATTTATTATTACAATTGGCGACACGACACCAGCTACAGAAAATGCGTTCTTTGTTGTCGACCGTTTCGTGAACTACCCACGGATATCGTTTTTTCCATATTGGATTGAATCGGAGACTTTCTTTGGTTAGTCTTCGAGCTCTTTTTGGTGGTGGTGGTGTTGTTTCTCCGGTTGCCGCAGTATTAGTGGCAAGGTTATTATTAGTATTATTATTATTATTATTATTATTATTATTATTAGTTGTTAGTTCGTTATGGTTTCTTAAGAGTTGATTATTATTTAAGGATGTTTCGCCGGTATTTCCATTTCCAACAGATGACCACGAAGTTACACCGACAGCATCATTATTTTTATTATTTTTATTATTCTTGTTGTCTTGACTTTCAATTTCCATCATAAAATACTATTAATATTATTACGAGTAATATTCGTTAATAATAATAAAAATCATAATAAATGATCTTAAGTTTGTTTTTAGGTGAAGAAGACGTAATCTATCCTCTTCAACTTTCCTAGTATTCTTGAACTATTAAAATGCGGTCGTGTCGTCCTGTCGTCGTCGTTTGTGAAATAGAAAAAATTGTTACTGCTGCAAACAATTGCGCACTATGTGCACAGGATAGAAAGTTTGGTCACACTTTATCGTATGATTGGTGGCCCTCGATGATTAACTGTCGTATTAACGTAGATCATCCACGGACCTACATGAAGTCATGTGACGTAATTAATTATACACGTATTAGGGTAATAACTTTTTAACAATGATTTTTGTATAAATTTCCTATTATACTGCTGCTGTAAAATAAAAACGGCAACTTGAATAGTCATTGTTATCCATTATCGTTACATACAATTAAGTTGATCGTGCTCGCAAATTTTCGTTATATATATATATATCGATATATATTGTATTATATTGTTAAATAGTTTATCGAACCATTATAAGACGGCATTTATACTTTAAATATGGAACGATGAAAGAAATGAAATGTTGAATACGAAGAAAAAAGAAAATCAAAGAGGAAAAAAAGATCAGGATTGGATAAAAATAATGTGACCATACTAATAAAAGGAAGAGAAAATAAAAACGCACATAATCATCGTAAATTCGAAGTGCATTATGTTATGTTTGATGATAGATATTTGTTTATGCATATATTAACGAAGAAAAAAAACAAGAAAAGACAATTCTGAGCTGGGTATATAATTATGGGTGGTTGTTGCTTGGACGAGTGGATCCATCTTAATTACATTCCTTATCGCGTGAAAAAAAAACGCGTTCAATTAGAGAAACTATTAAAGAAAACGCGAGACTGAGTGAGTAAGATGATGATAATATATCGCAAGTTAAGTTTCATATCACGAATGATAATTAAAGTTGATTATGTATGATGTTGTTATGAACGATTTTTATAAGCCATCCATTTTGGACCGATTTTTGAGGGGTTGCTTAAATTCAAGCAATTCCGAAATGCCTTGCCAATAGTGGGCGAAAAAAATGCTTTGACCGTTACGTCATTCATTGTTACGCAATTGTCATTCCTGATCAACAGAAAAATTTCCATGATTTATTATTATCGTTATAGAAATTAGTGAGGTAAATGAAATTGGAGGCAAGGTAGAATAAGAAATAAACAAAATACATAGCAAATTTTGTTTTATATCTAATATTCTAAGAGGTTGCTAAAGAAGGGGATGGTGGGTTGCTTAAATTCGGAAGTTACGATAAATATGATTGATGGATGGATGGATAATAAATAAAAAGGAAATAGAAGGATGTAGTAGTAGTAATAGATTAATTTATGATGATAGGTTTATTTTTAGCAAGGAAAATAGAAAGGAAAGAAATAAAAAAGTGAATTAAGAAAAAGAACAGTAGTGGTAGTATTTGTTCGCGAGTATAATGAAAGAAAACGAAATAAAATGACGGATGTTATAAAGTCCATCGTCTTCTCTGTCAAAAAAGAAATATATTCCTACATAATATATAAATAAATAAAAAACAGCTTATAAGAAATTTTGTATATATACGACATTAATTACATTTTTATGAGAGTCAATGTTGAATGTGTGAACGTGTGATTTCTTTTTCGTTTTGCCTCGATTGTTTATCTTCACCGTGTGATCGAATTAGGAATATAGAACTGACGAATAGTACATGTACGTAGTAGTATTGAAATAATCAATAAAAAACTAAGATTTTTTTTCAAAGCGCATTATTGTCTTGAAAAGAATCTCGATTTTTTTCTTTGGCATTTTCACGTTCTCTCGCAATCAATTCGCGTGCCGTATTCCGAAGATGTTCACTGATTGAATTTTTTCCGTTATGATTATTACTATTCAATTTGGAATTTTTTCCTTTATTAATGTCATTTGAAAGAATGACAGCTGATGGCTTTTTTTTGATGTTGTCATTATTGTTATTGGTAATGACGGATAAATTTCGTGGAGCCGTCTTTCCCGGAGAAACCATGTGTTCAGAAGAACAATGTGCATTGTAAGTCGGTATTATGCTTCCAGTAGTGCCAGTTGAAGACTTAAAAAGTTCCGGGATTGTGAGTCCAAATTCCGTTATCACAAAAACTGTCAACGCGGCGCTAAATAATTCCGCATACACGTAAGTAGGCTTGGTGGTGGTGCTTGCGAGAACCACCAATCGGTAGATGCTCATCGCTATCAAGATGGTCAGATCCACTGTGAAAAGGATCGTTTGGTAAGTGCGATAACGTAAAACGTGTTTATTAGGGGTCTCAGATGAGTGAATTTTTTTCAGCGTGCTAAATAGTTTAAGGTAGAATATTCCCTCGGATATTATATAATAGAAACGAAAAACTGGTGCTAGCGCATCTCGTATTCTGTAGATTACATATTCCGCGGCACAAACTCCCGTGAATTTTCCCCCACATGCCGTAATTATATGAATATTAATAATCACAAGCACAAATAATTCTATCGCACGAAAAGCAATTATGAAGTAATGTATATGTCTATATTTTCGATATGGTTCATAAGCAGCTCTACACCGTAAATATCTAATTTTTGGAATACATAACGACAGATCAGATCAGAAAAATATTAATTAATTAACCTTGATCAAAATACAATTACTAAAATATAAAAAAATACTTACGCCAGGTATAAAACTGTTGGCTTAGAAACAAAATAGGTGACATTATTCACAAAACTGGCCCACATTCCCCAATTATCACTCAATGAATTCGCGGCGGAAAAAATCAACAGCATCACAGCAAACTCGTTTATAAGCATCGCGATGTTGACGATCGGGAAAAGAAACATTTTCGAGCCACTTGTCCGTAGTGCTGCCATTCTTAATGCAGAGTTACCGGTTAATGTGAGGCTCGCACCAACTAGAACTGCACCAATAAAATTTTCGAGATTATCACCAGTATCGGGAGCTTCACTGCCACTACCATCGACGACCATTTTGCTTTTTTGGTGACTATAATAATTTCCTACTGTATTTTGTTATTGTGGTGGTGTTTTAGACATATAATTGTGTGTATATATATATATGTGAATTTAGTAACAATATAATGCGCAGGATAAATTTAGAGCCGCAAAGCTACTTTATAGTATGATGGTAATACTACTACTGGAGATATGTAAAAAGACGAAGGAATGATTGATGGTGTGAAAAATTAGGATAATAAGGAAGAGGCAAGAAAAGATAATAAAATGAGTGTAATGGTGAATGCGAAAAAGCACTCACGTCAAACACGTCAAGACTTCATGTTCGAACACAAGCAAGACACAATAACTTTTCTTATATATTATAGTCAAAGACGATAAATATCACTTTAAAAAGTGGTTAGAGTAGTTAGGATGGTTACACAATATAAAAGTGTAAAAAGACTGTATTGATCAATATATATATATATATATATATATATAAAATATTGTTCAAGGATCATCTCTCTCTTTTGAATCGCACGTCTCTTGAATTCAAATAAACCGAAAAAATCGCGTCAATAAAAATTTATTAAAAATTGGAAAATGAACATCATTACTATGTTTAACGAGCACCTCATTTCTACTGCATATTAGCAAATTTATTTTTTCTGTTTTTAAATGATGTAGCGGTAGTACTTGCTTGATTCAAAAATCTAAATAATGCACCAACGCCCAGCATCAAAGCGTATAAAAGAGATGTCTATCTTCGTGGGATGTAATTGGTGATAAAGTTAAGCAGTGGCTTACAACGACTATTGTCTAATGAAACAGAATAATTGCCTAATAAAACAGAAGATTTATTTTTCTCGCTAAAGAAATAATCCTCTCTATTGTTAACAGTAATTTTTGTTGATATATAAGAGGTTGATAACTCTGAGGTCAGAGTTAACATCAATATATTAGTCCAAGTGAAATTTGTTCTGCAATAAATGTTGATAATAAAGAAGTATTGATATTAAAGAGGTTGATAATAGAGAGGGTTGACTGTAACAGTGTATGCATTCAAACCATCTAGACTCTGTTAGCATATACGTATCTAATAGAATCTTGAATATATCTTGTATCACAACAATTGCGTCACTTGCTTGTTTTATCCTCTTTAATTATCCCTATCGCTATGGTCATACAACAGATCCCGGTACAACCAAGATACGTGGTTAGCTTATTTTGAAAATATTACATTGACATGACAATATCGAGATATTGAAATCCTTTACTTAATAGTTAACAAATAACAAACAACTTGAAGATAATATTTTACCTTACTAAGATACAATAGCATTCATTCATTATACTGGATCAAGCAATTATGTTCATTGAAGTGAATCGTTTTCGTCATTACGAGACGGTCTTTTCTAACATGTTTCATATCTCGTGCGTATACAATTAACCCTAACTTCTTAATTTCTAATCAAGGACTTCTGTATAACACATAACGATAAGCAACACCGAATATTTGGAGATGCGTTAAAGCGTTGTACCCACGTGACCACATGGGTATTACAATTAAAGGTTGATTTTAAGGTTAAAGTTAGAGTGAAGGACAAAATTAGATGTAAAATTGACTTCCCGACATTTTTTAATAGTGCTCCAAGATAGATTTAAGCATCTGTTTTTCGTATTTTTTCATTTTTTCGTTCGCGCTTCGGATTTGTTTTGCTGGGCTGATTAAAAATTAACGCATCCTTGGGTAACGGTAAATGTCATCCAACTTTTATTATGTAATATTTATTTGTTTGTTATTTCATAATTTACGATGATATGTGTTCATATAGCTTATGATTGAATATTGATTATTCCGCGTTAACATGTAGCAGGAGTTACATTTCAAGTAAAGGGAAAAAAAGGAAAATTCGGTCCGAGTTTAAAAAAAGGATTATTGGATTTTTTTTAGATTATATTTTACAAAAAAAACTAAATGTACATGTACAGTGTTGTCGCTTGGACGTAATCCAGCAATTTGATTGGTTGGGACAAGTGTCCTGACCAATCAAATTGCTGGATTTATGTCCAAGTGACAACACTGGTTACATAGTAATATAAATGCCGTTATATACATGGTAAAAAAAATCGGTGATATGACACATGGGTTACTTAATTGATGGTCACGAAGGGGATTTTAATCGAATTTAATGATCGAGTATATTATATCTATGATTAGGTATCGTATTGTTGTCGCCGTTGTCATGATTGATCATTTTCAGAATCACGATTTTTTAACACTGCTTTTGGTGAAGATTCAATAGATTCAATGTAATAGTAATTATTACTGCTTCCAGAAGCATAATTATCATAATAATGTGGTTTATTACTGAATTCATGTAATTTTGAGGTGTCGTACTACCAGTATTACTATATGATCCTCCACCAAATAAAAATACATTATTATTGCTAGTATTATAATTAAAGTAGCTAATTTTTGACGCAACTTGTAAACTCTAATATCAGATAACTGAAAATTCTCGGTTGGTTTTATTGGTGATGTACGATTTCTATATCCGAAAGAATTTGTCGTAAGTGGCGGCGACGCGGAATTAAACAATGATAAGTGCGCGGGAAAAGTGTCATATTGCGATGATTGATGAGGATCAGGAGCAATTTCACCATCATGTGGTAACTCACGAAACACGCACGGTATCGAAACACCAAATTGTGACATGTTATAGACGGTGAATGCGAAACTAAAACATTCAAGATAAACAGAATGAGGACCTCCCCTTGAAAAATAGAAAGCATACGATAAATACCCAATGCAGACAACTGAACAATATCAGTGAAAAAAGGATAAGTCTGAAAACGAGTATATCGAATGAATTTCACGTCTCTGTTATTGATTCCTTTTAACATTCGCACTAGAGTCAAGCAAAAAATTGCTTCCGCTACAACATAATAGAATTGCCAGAAGGGTGCGAATGCCGCATTTACTTTTCGCAAGTTCCTTAGCAGATGACATTTTCCCGAGTTTTCTTGAGAGCAGTGATTTATATATAACATTAAATCCACCATTATTACCACCGCCAATGAGGTCGCGACAAATGCAAAAAGATACATGCAGCCAAGAATGTTGTTCATATTTTTTATAAACGTATGCGGCTCTCAAACATGCGAGATAGAGCATGGCAGGTTTTGCGATGAAGTATGCAAAATTTGAAAAAAATGTGAGCCATGATCGTGATTAGTTGTTCATGAGCGTAAATTACTGTGATGATAATGAATTCATTAATGAGTGTACACATGTTGGCTATGTTTAATAACGGATCGTTGTGTCCATTTGTTTGTAGGATTTTTAGGCGCAGATACGAATGCAAAGTAAGTGATAATGCTCTCCTATTAATGCCGCACCGAAAGTATTGACGACGATATTGTGATATTTACCATTTGCTATTATTTTTAAAAGAGTGAAAAGTAATCGTAATATTCGAATTAATTGATGGGTTGGTGGAATCACGTGATAACGAAATAATAATAGTAAGTCATGAAGAACGCTCGAGGGTAAAATGGTGACGTTTAGCAAAGCAAGCGAGGTTATTAATCTTAACCACCAAAAGTTTGCTTTTGCTTTTAAATCATCAATAACCCGTAATTTGCCGTGTAAAAGCAACCTGTGGCATTGCCCTTTTTTAATAATTTTTTACTTTATCACATGTATTTTATTATATTAAGTATCGCATATTTATACGTTTGTCACAATTTGCTTATACGGTAAAATACGGTAAGCACGCAATTTCACAGAAAATATCAAATGCACTTTTGTGAAATTCATCCAAGAATTGCATCTATGGCATCACCGCACCCTGGACAAACTTTGTGTTGGGTATACGTATCTGCATGAAATATAAGAGTAAGATTCAAGTTGTGCATCCATATATACATGTACATGATACAATGGCAGTCCACTTAATAAACGGGAAACCCGTGAGAGGCACAGGTATTACTATATTAGCACCACCGATCTTTATGTTGCAAATGCAAGATTTAGGCTCTCTAACGTTAAATAAAAGCTTAATGTTTACGAGAGAAAGTGTCGTGTCAATATGTGTATGCTTTCACCAGTTGTTTACTTGCATGCTTTGTTTGCATAATCGAAATGATATCTAAAAGGTCGAAATATTTTTAAGGTTGGAGGAGTTCCTTCGTAAACCTAACTTTTGTCTGATAACTTTAAAGTTGATTATTAACTACTTTGTGTACAAGTCTAAAACAAAAAGTTGTCTGTTTTAACGACAATAATAAATATCCAGTTATTAGTAAAAGAAATCAAATTAATAAGTACCCTAGCCATGGCGAAAAAAAAGTTACGGGTCATGTGATTCCGAGCTATCCGAACTAATCAGATTTTTCCAA